ATGGGACACAGATACTGGGAGACTTGGGGACACTGAGACACTAGGGACACTGGCGGGGGGACATAGTGTCTCCGTGTCCCAATGTCTCCCAATGTCCCTATGTCTCACAGCGTCCCCATGTGTCTCAGCATCCCCATGTGTCCCAGTGTCCCCTAGTGTCTCAGTGTCCCCTCCAGTGTCCCCAGGTCTCCCAGTGTCTGTGTCCCCATGTGTCCTAGTGTCTCAGTGTCCCCTAGTGACAGTGTCCCCATGTGTCCCCTAGTGTCTGTGTCCCCTAGTGTCTGTGTCCCCATATGTCCCCAAGTGTCTCAGTGTCCCCATGTTTTCCAGTGTCCCCAAGTGTCTCAGTGTTCCCAGGTCTCCCAGTGTCTGTGTCCTAGTGTCTCAGTGTCCCCTAGTGTATGTGTCATCGTGTGTACCCTAGTGTCTGTGTCCCCTAGTGTCTCAGTGTCCCCATGTGTCCCCTAGTGTCTCAGTGTCCCCTAGTGTCTCAGTGTCCCCAAGTGTCTCAGTGTCCCCAAGTGTCTCAGTGTTTCCAGGTCTCCCAGTGTCTGTGTATGTGTCCTAGTGTCCCCTACTGTCTGTGTCCCCTAATGTCTGTGTCCCCATATGTCCCCTAGTGTCTCAGTGTCCCCATGTGTCCCCTAGTGTCTCAGTGTCCCCATGTGTCCCTGCTGCCTTTCCCCAATCCCTTACTTATCTGAGCTCTAGAGCTGCTGTCTGGACTCTCTGTGCTGTGTAGCTGCTCCCCCACGGATCAGTGAGTAGTAGAGAGAGGCAGGGATATTCTGTAACTTCCTATCCCTGCCTCTCTCCACACACAGTGACCCCTACTGGCCGGTGCTGGTATTGCAGAGTAATCTCCATTTATTCTGAGAAAAATACCTGCTTTGTATTGCTGGTATTACTGCAATCCCGGCACGGCCAGGCAGCCTCAAATACGGTCTGTACCATTAAAATACCAGTCAGGTGGCAAACCTAAGAGTAGTGTGTAAAAAATAAAATAAAAAAATAAATAAAAAAAAACTTTTTTTTTTTTTTTTAAATGGGCCTATTCCATGGGCCTGGGCCTGGAGCTGCAGCTCCATCAGCCCCTATGTTAATCCGGCCCTGGTTGTAGATATTTGCTTTTTGTCTTCGACTGTTCCCAAGCTACTTGCTTTGCTGGCAACTCACGATGGTCATATCTCTCTCTGCAGTTGTCTTTTGCAGTTCTTCTTTTACTACTCTTTTGGCGCTGTAGAGTTTGGTTCCCTGGCTGTGATGTCTATTGATAGGTACCTTGCTGTTTGCCATCCTTTAAGATACAGTGCTCTTATGACCAAGCACGTGTGTGCTAGACTTATCCTTGGTTTATGGATTTTTAGTTTCCTGAAGTTCCTTCCAACTTTCATTTTTCTGTCAAGGTTAAACTTTTGTGGTAGGCCTACCCTCATTAAGCACTTCTTCTGTTATGGTTCTGCACTATTAAATGTGTCCTGTTCCGACACTAGTCTAGACCCATATATTTATACATTAAGGAATCAAATGATTAAGAACACATTAAAAAGTTTTTTATGACTAAATGAACTACCAATTTATAAGTTCTAAGTTTTGTGTGACCTAAGGACTGCGTGTCCTGAAACAAAGTGTGTGTATGACAGGTGGACTGCCAGAAGGTTGTGTAAGCTGTAATGCACTGTATGTCTGAAAAGTGGACTGTGTGTGCAGAGAACTATGTGTCTGAGATAGATTATGTGTCTGGGGGATTGTACACAAATAAGTTAATTGGAAGGTTCCACTGACATACAGGCACGTTTGAGAGTACCTATGGGGAATCCTCGATAGCATGAACGGGTGACTACAGAGAATCCTATGGAGAAATAACTACTTCATCAGTGAAGTTATATAGAGGAGATTAGTTAACTGTGATATCTTTTGGGATTTATATTTGGATAACAGGAAGTATATTGTCACTGTACAGTAAATATGTGCATAAGGCTGAGTCCCAGTTGTTAAGCATCCTTGCAACCTCTGCTGGTTGAAAGGCTTTTACTGCAGGATTATGAATTGCCAGCAATGATTGGGGTCCAATGTACTCCAAAATCTTGACCTCACTGTCTCCCAAAGGGTAAATACAGTTGTAAGGAAAGATTTAAGGGAAAGTGCAGTTTTACACAAAACTAAGTAAGTAAAATAAGGTGATAAAGAAAATAAAGAGAAATATAAGCAGAAAATATAATATCAAGTTTTAATATATTGGTATACTGTACAGAAATATGTTATGATATATAACAATAATAATAATAATAATAAATACTGCAGTGTGTAGAAAAGATATGCATAAGAGTTCTTGAGCAGGATTAAAAAAAATTGTTGATTTGGAGAACTGCAGTTTGAGTGTTGTTTTAAACCATATAATAACTTTCTCTATTGTAATCCAGAAAGAGATATTAACCTATAGCAAGCATCTATAGCTTTAATAAAGCACAGACGGGCGGTATCAAAAAAGGGCAGATGCATTAATAGCCATAAGCACTCTCGATAAACCTTAAAGAAATACTGTAAAGCACACTATAATGCTATTTTTAAGGTCTAACTGGAGTGGTGATGGCTGTTTAGTGCATCTGCCCTTTATGGATACCACCAGTCTGTGTTTGCAAAGGCAAAATATAGGATTTTTAAAAGAAGATTATTTACACTTTTGCCACGAGTTGCATCATTTTACTCTATCTTACCATTGAGAATAGAGAATCACTGTGTCCTTAATGTAACTACGTGGACTTCCAATTTTAAAGCATTGTGTCTGTCTTTTGAACTTGAATCAGCACTGTTCATACGATTATAGTGTTGCTTTCATTTTTATGTATTAATTATATTAATTTATAACTGTTTGGTCTAGAAGTTGCAAGTATTGTATTTTACCATTGGACATATTTAATCAATGTGTTCTATATTGTTTAAGGTGCTGCCAATTTCTTTCTTTTTTTTATAAGCACAATAGAGAAAATGCTAATACTAGCTTAGTAGCGTATAAATTATTGCTATTATTATCCATACCTGTTGTGGGATTTTAGGATTTTATGTATATTTTATATACATATATATATAGAACAACAATAAATGATCACTTTACAATTTTGGCATTAAGGATTTTTTCATATTGCACTTATAAAGAGTGGTATAAGTGTTTGGATGTAGCACTTGCATTTTTGTACTTTATGAGAAAGTGGTATAAATTGTCTGCACTACCTCACTTTATTGATACAGTGAGTTAAATTTGCACTTTATAAATATTTAGCGCACGTATTTCTTTTATTGGATTACATATATATATATATATTTATATATATATAGTTCATACATAACACAATACACACACCAGTCAAGCCATAATACTTGCTTTTCCCACAGAAATCTCACTTTAACAGTGCTTTTCCCACAGAAATCTCACTTCTGCAAGGGATTCTGGGTATGCATATGCAAATGAGCTCAACAAAGTACCAAATTTTTGCCTCATAATTCCTCTTTATACATGGATTGCTTGGAGTACGTGTCTGCTGTATACAACAGCTTTGAAACATAACTCAGGAAGAGGAGCAAAGCGAGTGAACCACTCATAGACAGCTGTTTCATTGCTAATGCAACTCATCAGCATGAAGTTGGTTACTGACTTGCTACGAAGGCTTGGCATTACTTGTAAAGTACATACCAACTGAGTTGTGGTGGGGAAAAATATGTGGATGAAAGCCCCTTCCACCTGAAGTAAGTGGATAGTTAATACATTGCTAAACACAAATACACACACCAGTCAAGCCATACGACTTGCTTTTCCTTCAGAATTCTCACTTTAACAGTGCTCTCACTACTGCAAGGGATTCTGGATAGGTGTATGCAAATGAGCTCAACAAAGAGCTTTTTTTGCCGAGGCTTGGCGTTACCTCAAACGTAATTGTGAGGCAAAAAATTGGTACTTTGTTGGTGCATTTTATTGATGGCTTTTTAAATGCACAGAGATGCCGTGACGAGATCCTGATGCCCATTGTTGTGCCATTCATCCACGACCATCACCTCATGTTGCAGCATGATAATACATGGCCCCATGTTGCAAGGATCTGTACACAATTCCTGGAAGCTGAAAACATCCCAGTTCTTGCATGGCCAGCATACTCACCGGACATGTCACCCATTGAGCATGTTTGGGATGCTCTGGATCGGCGTATACGACAATGTGTTCCAGGTCCTGACAATATCCAGCAACTTCACACAGCCATTGAAGAGGAGTGGACTAACATTCCACAGGCCACAATCAACAACCTGATCAACTCTATGCGAAGGAGATGTGTTGCACTGCGTGAGGCAAATGGTGGTCACACCAGATACTGACTGGTTTTCGGACCCTCCGGACCCCCCCATTACAGTATAACTGCACATTTTAGAGTGGACTTTTATTGTGGCCAACCTAAGGCAAACCTGTGCAGTAATCATGCTGTCTAATCAGCATCTTGATATGCTCACTAACACTTGATATTTGAGAGGATTAGCTCTTTTATGTACATAGAAAAAGTCTTAGATCTTTGAGTTCAGCTCATGAAAAATGGGAGCAAAAACAAAAGAGTTGCGTTTATAATTTTGTTCAATGTATATGGATCCAAAAGAAGGCAAAAAACTGCTGTTTCCCAACGTAGTATAACTTGTATCCCTGCATTTATGTTTTTATAAGTTTTATCCATTTGCTGTTTAAACATTTGATAAAACCAACACTCCAGGCAGATAATTCCATATTCTTATTGTTCTTAATGTAAAGCTCACATTGTGTTACTTTATCTATTTTTCTGTCATGTGCAAACACTGACACCTTGTTCTCAAGGCTTATTTCAAGAACAATTATGTTACAACTATGTTAAGTAGAAGTTGTCCCAAAACAGAATCCTGACAAGAAATGTATCATTAATGACAGCTCTCTGTACTCTATCTTTATCCAATGTTTTACCCAAGAACAAGAATTTTCATCTAGACCAATTTCTTTGAATTTGAACACTAAGCTATTGTGCGGAAGCGTACTGTACACCTTGGAAAAATTTAAATAGATCACATCCAAGGCAACACCTTGATCTATACATTTACTTACTTCTTTGTAGAATGCAGTTAGGTTAGTTTGACATGACCTATGTTTCATAAAACCATGCTGATTTTTGCTAATAACAATGTTCTTCCCAATGAATTCTTGAATAATATCCCTTAATATCCTTTCAGATACTTTCACAGCCCCAGAAGTTAATCTTACAGGTCTATAATTTCTGGGCCAAGATTTTGAACATTTTTTGAATGTGGGGACATCTACCCTATTCCAATCCTTCAGAGTAACTCCTGGCTATCACAAGCCAAATGTGTTTTACTTCAACTAAATCTGAAAATGACTGTCTACTCTACAAAGTGCAGAAACATGTTGTGATTGAGATATAAGATCTATTATCTTGACTTCTTGTAAATATCTAGAGATTGTGGTCAGTCAGTTTGTGGAGTCATAAAGAGTGTAGCAGTCTAATTATGAGTTATATAAGTAGATTTTTTGGCTGTTCTGTCATTTAGCCCTACTGTAATTTTTATACAAATATTAAAGTTCTCTCTTTAATATGTCCTGGATTATTAAATATTTTTTTTTTTTTTTTATTGACTACTGGCATTTCTTTAGTTGAATACTGTTATTGTGTTTATTAAATAATGGGTTTTTTTTCTGTACATGGGAAATTATTGCTTGTAAAACTAGATGTTCAGGATTTTGTTATACTCCTGTTTGTTGTTTGATTGTGATTTACCATAATATCATTGTCTACACTGTGAGCAAGTTTGAATAGGTGAAAGATCTCTTCACAAAGGATAACTGTAAATTATATGAAAACATAAATTGTACTAATGATTGTCTTTTGCACAATATAGAGAGAAGAGTATACTTCGTATATGGATGTTTCTATAGTTTATGTAAATATAGACAAAACTCTCAGATTATATCTGCATTCAATCACTCTCGTAATCAGTGGCTTTTATTATCATGTCCCTGTTAACATTTAAAATAAGTTGTCTTTGATTAATAGACAATAAGAGATTTGTTGAAGCAATAAATAAGACTGCTGGACAGAAATGATAGGGGTTAACCCTTAGAAAGGAATGGCAAAAAAGAAGAAACTGGACTGTCCAGTGACCACAATAATAGTTAAAAACGAACTTTTAATTAATTCAAAATTAAGAGGAGCTAGAGAGAAACCTAGCTCTGAACGAATAAATATATATATAACTCTACATAAACCAGATCAGAGAAAAAAAAAAGGGGGGGGGGAGACAAAAAGGGTACATAGAGAATAAATATAATAATAATATCAGTAAAACTGTTAATTGTCCTTTACAAGAATTATAAGCCATCAATATAGAAATCTGAAAATGATGCGGAGAATCTTCCATATTGCAATATTTTCCTTCGTGTGCAATACAGAGTGTAAGGTTTAATTAGTTTTCTTATATATGGTTATAAATTGAATACACAAGATCCAGCGCACCCACTCATCCACTAAACAGCAACTTCAAAGCACACATATGTTATTAGTTTTTTTTAAAAACATCTAATCTATGCAAAAATAATGGGGGTTTAGTTACAGTATATGATCATACATTGCATAAGCCTGCCACAACATCAATGTACCAAATTACCCAATATAATTATGAGATTAACACACTTACTTGGGAAAACATTGTTTCTATTGTTTCCCACTGGGAGGGGTGGAAAACCAAGGAGTAGGCCTAGACTCCCAAATATATATATATATATTAAATCCAATATGTCTGTCATCCTGAAGAAGGCTCCAGATGTGAGCCAAAACATTGATGTTTTATTATTTTTTTTATATGAATTAAAAGTAAAATTTTACCATACCTCAAAGACCCTGGAGTGCTTTCTGTTTACTGGGATTTATATATATTATATATATATATATATATATATATATATATATATATATGTAGCGGAGGCCTGGTATTTCACAGGTTAACTAAGAACCCAATGAGGCTCAAGAACAAGTGATGAAAAATCCCATGAAGTAATAATTCCAACAAGCAAGGTAATCCACAAATATCCCCATACAGATCCCAATGACTGGATGACACACAGCATCAGGAGCAGAACTGATGTTTATTCCACACAACCTCCTTTTAAGCATTTCTCCCATGCAAGGGAGGGATTCACCTACATTAATACAGTACCCAATGGAATAGCAGTTACCTCCCACACATCTCCTCCCCTTAGTATGACACCTAATCCCATTATACAGGTTACAGTTTTCCCCAAGATTAGCAGGTACACCAATACTTAGGGTACCCCCTGGTAGCCCTGATCTGTGTGACTAACATATCCAAAATTCACCCAGATCAGACCAGGGGTTCGGGAGTTAGTTGGAGGGTGAAATTTGACCAACCGCACACGAGGTGGTATCCGAAAAAGGTTCCATGCGTTTTGGCACTGCGGTCGGTCTCCGTTCGGGAGGTAAAATACACAGAAATACATGTCATCCACCATTAACCCAGCATTCGCATGAATGCCCTTGTTAGGTACTCCAAACTCACCGAACGGGGGGCTGATCCGTTCGTGAGTTATTGAGCTCTGTTGGTGTCAGCGGTGTTCGGGTAATCGAGTGCCCGATTTGAGTTCCAGACACTCGACGACCAAACACCGCTGAGTCTTTCGTACGTAAGATGGCCACCGCCACGTGTTCGCATGCCGAATGGCGGCCACCCAGATACATCCATAAACCACCTATTAGTCTGCGGTTAACACGTATTTTACAGCTTAATTAGGGACACACTTCACTCTGGGGAGGTCTATTCATTCGGTAGTTTCCATTCGTATGAAATACAGATGGAAACTACCAAACAATCATACGAATGCCAGTTACAATGAAATACAAAGCAGAAACAACACCCGAATTGCAGGATTCTTTCTCATAGTCTGTAAGGACAGCCACAATACCATCGGCTACAATATATAAACAGGGGTCTGCACTCACCTGAACATATATAAATGGGGTGCTGCTTGGAATAATTTATACAATACACAAGATCCAGCGCACTTAATGGGGGTTTCGTTACAGTATGTTATCATACATTGCATAAGCCTGCCACAACGTCAATGTACCCCATTTTTGGCAGGTCCTACTCTAACAACCTAATTTCTACTCTTGTCAGATTAACCCGCTTACTTGGGGAATATTTTTTTTCCATCTGGGCCTCTCTGCAATGCAAGATTAAATAGGGCCCTGGAATGAGGTACTTGTGAGAGGGAGGGATAGAAAAACCAAGGAGTTGGCCTAGACTCCCAAATTGATTTGTGTTTCTATATCACCACCTCCACAGTGTTTCCATTTTGTATATATTAATATTGCATATTTTTGTTTTCTTAACAAAACATACACACACACCCCAAACAACAGTGTGTATTAAAAATTTGATCATGTGACTACCCTTTATATACCATGTTCCATTAATAAGACTTCACAACACAAAATATATCTATGTGTAAAAATAGAGTATACCTAGTAGTACAGTTTTAAGATTGCGCCAAAATTTGATATACTTGTTGAACTCACAAGATGGCAAATGACAGCGAACACTTCAGATATCAAATTATTCTGCCAGAAATATCTTCATCTCCCGATTTCAGGAAAGGCGAGGGACATGTGTAGAGAAAACAAATACTATTGTACAGTATGTCAAGATTTTTACACACAATGTATTAGTTTAAAACTTACAATAAAGCAATATTGGCAAGTCCATTAACATATAGCCAGGAATAGAGGAAATCCCATTCCATAATACAATGTTCATATAAGATAAGGGGATCCATGTCTTCAAAGGAAACAATGGAGGATGAATTGCAGCAAAAATATAAAATAAAATAAAACTTAACATCCACAGTTAGGATAAATAAAACTGTTAAGGTTAAACAGCCCTGCGCGTTTCATCTGGGGGAACCAGACTTCCTCAGGGGACAACAAGGTAAATCGGGTATAACATTTGAGCCTCACATCCAGTCTGTTACCAAATCCTGTAGATTCCACCTTAAAAATATAGTCTGCATCTGTCCTTTTCTTACACAAGATGCTAATAAGGAGCTTGTCCATGCTCTAGTAATCTCTTGCATGGAATATTGTAACTCTCTCCTAATAGGTCTTCCCACAAGTCGTATTATCCCGCTACAGTCTGTAATGAATGCTGCAGATAGACTGATTTTCCTCTCCTGTCACTCCTCTCACACCTCTCCCCTCTGTCAGTCCTTACATTGTCTTCCTGTATCCTATAGGAGTCAGTTCAAGGTACTAAACCTATAAAGCACTGACCAATTCTAGCCCCTCCTATTTCTCTTCACTAATCCACAGGTATGCCTCTTCTTGGTCTCTCTGCTCTGCCCGTGAGCTTCTCCTGTCCGCTACTCGCACCCGCATGGTCAACTCATGCTTTCAGGACTTTTTGCGGGTGGCACTTTTCCTTTGGAATAGCCTGCCTACGACCATCAAGCTCTCCCCTAGTCTTCAATCATTTAAAAAGTGCCTCAAAACCCATCTCTAAGAGTAACCTCTTCCTCACATACCTGTCCCTTGCTCTCTCCTAAAGGGCAGCACTCTATTCTCTTCTCCAGCTCTGCTTCACTCCACCTTGTTTGATTGCTACCTCATGTCCTTTTGTGTTTTATGCCCCACCTCCTGTAGACTGTAAGCTCGTTTGAGCAGGGCCCTCTTCAACCTATTGTTCCTGTAAGTTTTTGTAATTGTACACCGAGCGCCATGTCACTAGAAATCCTTCGTAGTGTGTTGGAACCTGACTGCATTCCACATTGCAAAATCTTAATCCTTGTTTGTCAAAGTCCCAAGAATACGGAGTCTCAGTAAAACAAGGATATAAAAAAAATATATAAAAAAGTATTATTAGCAGATACCATATATTCATCTAAATTACATGCAAAATATGAAAGAATATAAAAACAATAGTAGTAAACATATATATTGGAAAATGCCTAAAAAAACTTAAAAAAATAATAATAACATAATAATAATAATAAAAAAAACTAATGAAAAATAAAAAATGTAACATACACAACAAAAATATTTTAAATATTACATTTTTTTTTTTAATTGAAAGTTTATTGACGAATTAGCTGAGAGGGAGAAAAAAAGTTATATAAAACAAACTAAATCAAAATTGACATTCAACCGTTGTAACATCTGCAGTTTGTCTAACCAAAAACCCTCCCTCTTTAATATTATTTTATTATTATTTTTTAAAGCTTTTTTTTAGGCATTCTTCAATGTATATATTTGAAGCGGCTAACAAAAGAGTATATACAATTTACTTTATTCTTTTCCAGCTAACACCTACAAACAGATGTTTTTGCTCTGGAAGTAGGATGTTATCAGTTTTCTAAGTGGAATAGAAGTTTGCAAATTCCTCCCCAATCTTTGTAGTATGGTACAGTTTATTGCCAGTGGAAAAATAACTAAAAGGCATGATAGTATGAGATATATGGGGTCTGTGCAGAGAAATATGCAATCAAATTACATTAGGTAGCAGAAACCCTTGTTCTGGGTTGGCAGACCTAATGACATTGCTAGAGGTGGAGTTATAACTCCAGAAAAAAAACGTAAATTCATAGTGTTAGGAATAGTCGTATTTTCTAACACTATAGTGCCCTCTGGTCTGCCCCTCACTCGCAAACCGCCCAGCACATAAAGGGTTAAAAGAAACTTTATTTACTAATCCAATTCCATTAATAATGTCCCTTAACACTGGGTTGGTGCTCCCCTTCATCCATTGGGGGGACCTAATGCACATGCCCTGAGGGATTTCTTTGATGCAGAGCATGAGGATGTCCTGCATCGTTTAACGTAGTCAAACTCTGCTAAAATAAAGCGCCTCTAGTGACTGTCTAAAACACAGTCGCTAGAGGAAGTCTTAGTCCTGCAAAGTAATTACTGGAGTTTCTCAAAAACTGCAGTGTTTACATTGTAGGACATAGGGGGACAGGCATACTGTGGTCTGGGTGACTATAGTGTCCATTTAAACTCTGTTTGCAGCGTTTCAGAGAATCACTAAAGACTACAGGTACCCTGATCACGTCAAATTACTGAAGTGTCCATGGTGCTTGCAGTATCACTATAACTACTGGATGTATATGGAAATTAGTTTGTTTTAATTGTTGAGAAATGGAAATTTAGATAATCGATAATATCATTATCAGATCACTCACATTTTTCTATCTTCCAAACAGAAAATAAGGTAATTTATTTCCATCACTGAGACTGTTTCACTCATTCTATGGAGAATTCTGATTGGTCCCACAGAGTATTTAGTTTCCAGTGGGCTATATATATCTTTGCTCCCATTGTCATTACATAGTTATAATGTTGATTTTCCTAAATATGCATAAACTCTGCTGCTGTGTTATCTCTGCTATGTGCTTTAGTATTAACCCCTATGAACAATTTTGTTTAATATGCCTTTGTACATATTTTATGATTTTCTACTTCACTGATCTTTTATGCAATTTGTAGTTATTGTATTGTGAATAAGTTTGATATTTTCTTGATATGCTCTAATTTATTTCAGTGAACTTTCATATTGCAACCACATACTGTGATTAGATATGCTAACATATAATCAGACACAGTTTTTTCTCTTGGGTTTTTCTAGTAATCCTAAAATACAGTCAATTATTTTTGTGGGCCTGCTGTTAATTTACAGTCTCTCTGTCTTGGGTAATTTGGTTATAATATGTGCTACCTTTGTGGACCAGAAACTACATATCCCCATGTATATGTTTCTCAGCAGTCTCGCAGTTACGGATATTTGCTTTATGTCTTCAACTGTCCCCAAACTTCTTGCTTCTCTGGGAGCTCATAATGGTTATATCTCACAGTATAACTGTCTATTACAGTACTTTTTTTACTATTCCTTTGGTGGAACAGAATTTTGTTCTCTGGCTCTGCTCTCTATTGATAGATACCTTGCGGTATGCCAACCTTTAAGATACAATGCCATTATGACCAGGCATGTGTGCATCAGACTCATCGTTGGCTCTTGGATATTTGGTTTCCTGGAGTGTATCCCACCTTTGCATGCCATATCACAATTACAATTTTGCAGTAGGCCCAGCTTAATTGCACATTTCTTCTGTGATGGGGCTGCAATTTTAAACGTATCATGTACTGACACCAGACTGGCAGGAGTAATAGTTTTTGCCACTGCATCATTTGCTATTTTCAGTTCTCTCATCCCCACCTTATACTCTTACAGTTACATCCTTTCAGCAATTTTCAGGATATCTTCATCAAGTGGAAGGATAAAAACCTTTTCAACTTGTTCTTCACACCTTCTTGTTGTGTCCATTACCTATGGAAGTTGTATTTTCATTTATGTTCGACCAGCGGGAGCTTTGTCCACCAGCTTAGACATGACTGTAGCTGTATTTAATAGTATTTTGAGCCCAGTTCTAAACCCGTTTATCTATACTTTGAGAAATCAAATGATTAAGAAGACATTGAAATATTTTTATATCACCAAAACTGCAAATCTATGGCCTGTAAAGTAAGTTAGATCATTGCTATTCTTTCATATTTAGTGGTGACTTTATTGTCTTTCAAACTTGCTACTTTAAATAAAATGCTAGCAGTACAAATTTCCTATAATATCACTGATAGCTTACATAATGCATGGAAAATACAGCACAAAGGAGAAATGAATATAACATTTTAATACTGAGAGGCAATCACCTGTAAATATTAGACCTTTAAATATGTTTATATACTATGGTATGCAAATGTATAATATTGATAATAATGCATTATTACAATCCAATATAATTCATAGAGACACCACGGTCTGAACATCAATTTCACAGAAACCTCCAATGTCCTGACATAGAGCGTTTCTCCACTAATCTCCAAACTCTCATTTTGCCTATCTCAAACCTCACCTGTCCTAGCGCTGCAACCTCCTGCTACGATTCCACCCTCTCCTCTCAACTCCACATCATGGCACCTCCTACATTTAAATGCATGGCACACCGAGCTGACTCGATACTGTTGTGGATCAGAGTGTTGATCTTTGTTATATTCAGAAGAAGCCCAAATTGTTGTTACAAGTGCACTTGGAGAAGCAAGAATTAGACACCAGTCACCTGTTGGTATTCAAAATAAGCCTCTGACATTTTATTCATCAGCTGTGTTTTATACATTAAAAAGTAAGTGCTTACGTGCAAATACTCTTAGAACAGTAATAGGAAGGTAGTACAGATAAGGAATGAACGTCATGTACACATAACAAATAAGTTCCAAGGTAAGAAAGAACAAAAAGATTAGAGAAGAGACATCTTAGGTGAGTGCTCTCTGTTCCCGGAACTAGACATATATGGTCTTAAGTGTTGTTTAAGCATCAAGCATTTCCTGAGTCCAAGTTATTTTAATATAGGATATCATTATATGACACCTATAAGCTTGAGCCTTGGAATCAAGATAAATTCTATCACAATCCCCTCTTTTGATCCAAGGGTCACCCAAATGCCCAAGGTATTTCCAGGCCTGCTAGCCAAAGCCTGTGGGACTTTTATTTATTGCTTCACCACGGTTCCCTTGGACTGAGAGAACACCAGAATCAGCGGAGGAGAGTTCCTTAATTTGTTAGGCGAGGTAACATCATAAAACCTTTCTGAAGTCGGAGCTGGAATGTAAGTTAAGGTACGACAAACAGTAGGTTTGCTTTTACATAGAGAGGTTAGTAGACATGAAAAAAATCTAAAGGTTAGAACAATGGCCATACTGACAAATACAGCTAATAGCAAAAAGTACAAAATTTTCTTAATTAGTAAAGTCAACCATGTTCCTAGCCCAAATGTCCAATCTCCAAAGAAGCCAGTACCCTGTATGATATCCTGTATTAAGTCATGTAAATCTTTTATATGTTTATGGATCATAGTGCCATGGTCAGATAGGTTAAAATAGCACATACCTTCAATAGTTTCACAGCCTAAGTCATGTTTCATTAGTAAGTAGTCAATGGCTGCTCTATTCTCAAGGATTGCCTTCTTATTTGCCTGGTTGTCCATAAGTAGCTCTTCTAGGGCCTGTGAAGTGGCATTTAAACCTTTTGCAAGGGAACAGACTACAGCATTAACTACTCGGGTATTATACAGTGCTAAGCCTGGGACTCCTACCAAGGTGTACGCTAGGGCAGAGTATTCGGCTTTAGATAAAAGAGTGATTTCAGGGTTACAATCTGCATTAATGGTGTTTTTAACATCTCTCCTATCTCTCAGTAGTTTGTGTACCTGGGTGGTTTTAGTAATCTGGTCAAATTTGGAAAACATGGTCATGGTTAGGCGAGAGATTGCACAGGGACCTCCTGTAATGTTACCTGGGACATAAGCATAAGTAATATTTCCACAGGAGAAAGTCCATCCTTTATGAAGAAAGACATTGTAGTGGTAACTCATAACTTAGTGAGTTTTGGTACAATTCATAGTGGTGCTCAGGGCTCTACAATTCGTGGTATTTTTCCACCATGTGGGGAAAAACAGGGATTCAGTATTAGGGTCTCTTGAACAATTACATGAAAAAGCCCAACATAGTTCAGTGCCTGTCACATTAATTGTCTTCAGGGCTAGGGGAGGCTTGCCTACCAGTGGGTTGAAGGCATAAGAATATAGTTGTAGAGATTTATGGGGTTTATGGGTATGTAGGTACTTCCTCAACAGTGAGATGGGGGTAGGGACAGCTAGAAGACAAGATTATATGGTGTTTTCAGTACTGAGGAGAGGGTTGAGGCAAAAGGAGGTTAAATTAAAAGCCTTTGCTATCTGCAACCATATATTTTCCTGCCATGCATTATTATTTTCTGGTCTTAAGTCAGAGTAGCATATCCGAACACAGCATAAAATGGTAAAGGATAAGAACAGCTTCATGTCGGTGGATAAGTCGGGGTGACTTGTTTACAGTGACTGGTGTGTATCCACGTGGTTTTTCCTTCTAGTTTCACTGAGGTAGCTGTAGTCAAGAGCACTTGGAATGGACCGTCAATGCGTGGTTCAAGTCCTTTCCTCACATGCCTCTTTATCACCACCCAATCCCCAGGCTGCAGTTTGTGAGTTGCAAAATCAGAGTCTGGATGTGGAATAGAATCAAGACTTGTTTATGCACCCCTACCATGCTGCATATGGAGGGTTTGGGGAAATTAGAGGCCTTTCTTTGGGGCACATCCAAACAGGATCTCAAAAGGGAATAGGCCATGTCTGGAATTGGCGGTGAATCTCATAAAAAAGAGTGCTAGGGGAAGGCATTCAGTCCAGGGCTTCCCTGTATCTTGCATGGCTTTTGCAATCTTGTTCTTTAAGGTGCCATTTGCCCTTTCTACTTTCCCACTACTCTGGAGGTAATAGGGGGTGTGGAAGGCCTGACTGATCCCTAAGGCTTTCATAATTTCTTGCATTATTTCCCCAGTGAAATGGCTACCTCTGTCACTTTCAATCACTTCAGGTACTCCATATCACTTCCTTCAGAAGCTTACTTGCTGTGACCTTCGTTGTGGCTTTCGACACTGGGTAGGCCTCAGGCCAACCTGAAAAGAGATCAATGCACACCAACACATATTCATACACTCCTACCTTACGTAGTTGAATATAGTCTATCTACAGTCTTTGAAATAGGTAAAGTTGCCTTGGTGTGTGCTTACTTGGTGTTTTGACAGCCTGTCCTGGATTGTTTCTAGCACAAATCATGCAAGCTTAGGTGTGTTTAGCTGCTACAACAGTAAATCCAGGTGCTACCCAATGGGTGTTTACTATGCTGTTCATGTGCATCTTGGATAGATGTGTAGGTCCATGGGCAATCTGGGCCATCATTGGGTACAACACTCGTGGCAAACACAGTCTTTTACCTTTCTTCCACATTCTGTCATCATCAGGTTCTGCATCTTGTTTCCTCCAGAGGTCATGTTCTTCCTTGCTTGCCTGTCTTTGTAAGCTCAACAGTATATTGTAGTCAACAGAGTCATCTGTAAGAACAACTTGTAGGAAGGTATTACCTGTAGAGGGATGAACTTGAATTGCTGCTTGCTTGGCAGCTTCGTCTGCTTTGTGGTTTCCTCTTCAGATTCCATCTGTGATCTTCACGTGAGCTGCCACCTTGATGATGCCTACTTGAGTGGGTAGCAGGATAGCGTCCATAAGTGCACTCACAGCTTCAGAATTCTTGATTGGAGTTCCTGCTGAGGTGAGAAAATCACAAGCCCGCCATATAGGGCCAAAATCATGGGCTATACCAAAAGCATAGCGAGAGTCTGTATAAATATTAGCAGTCTTACCAGAAGCCATTTTACACGCTTCAGCAAGTGCTTTCAGCTCTGCCTCCTGTGCAGAGCAGTGAGGAGTGAGTGGTTCAGCTTTTATTACCTCATGTGCAGAGACTACAGCATATCCAGTGTGGAAATTACCCTTCTCATCGGCATATCTGGAACCATCTACAAAAAATTCAAAATCTGCATTAGATAATTGAAAATCAATTACATGCAAAAAACCTGCTGTTTCTTGTGCCATTAGTGCTGCACAATCATGGGGTACCTGGGCATCAGCTAACTCATCTGGTGAAAGTGAATTTACAAAAAGATCAGAAGTACAAGTACCATTCCCACTATCCCCACTCCCCTCTTTTAAATCCAGGGGAAGTAATGTAGATGGATTTAACACCATACACCTTTTAAGAGTAACATTAGGTGGCATAAGCAAGGCACATTGCATTCTGAGATGCCTTGCAGTATGTATGTGTTTTGGTTGAACTTGTGACAGTATGCTGTTGATATCATGCGGTGTGTATATGGTCACCGGGTTATCTAAGACAATATCAGTGGCTTTGTCCAGGAGGGCAGTAACAGCCGCCACTGCCCTAACACATGAGGGGGCACCCCTGGCAACAGGGTCCAATCTGGTGGAGTAGTATGCTATTGGTCTTTGTTTACCACCATGGTCCTGTGTAAGGACAGATGTAGCATAACCTGATTGCTCAGTACAGAACAGGTTAAAATTATTTCTGTAATCTGGGAGACCCAGTGCCGGAGCTGACGTTACCAGTAACTTAAGGGTATAGAAGGCATTTTCTGCCGCATGGGTTAATTTAAATGGTTTGTTTTCGTTGGCAAGACAATCATACAGTGGTTGCATGTAGATAGCTACGGAACGCAGCCAAGGACGGCAGTAAGATATCAAACCGAGAAATGTGCGGAGCTGGGCTAGGCTGTGGGGGGGCGGTTTAATATTTTGAACTGCAGTCTTTCTACTCTCCGTGAGATGTTTTATGCCCTGGGAAATGCAATGTCCTAGGAAAATAACTTTCTCTACACATGCTTGCAGTTTCGTTTTTGTCGCTTTACAGCCTGCTTCTGCCAAGAATTTTAGCAAGGAAAGAGTGTTTACAATACAAGATTCCATATTATCGCAACATAGGAGTAGGTCATCGATATACTGCAATAAAATTACGTTATTTGGCCTTTGCCACTCTTCAAGAATCTGGGCCATAGCCATGCTGTACATAGTGGGTGAGTTTTGTGCGCCCTGTGGCAATACTGTCCAAGTGTACTGCTTGTGTTTATGTGTAAATGCAAATAAAAACTGACTGTTGGGATCCAGGGGGACACTGAAAAATGCATTTGCCAAGTCAATAACAGTAAATACCTTAGAGGAAGGTGGTATTTGTGCCAACAAGGTGTGTGGGTTGGGAACATTAGGGGCAATCAGTTCAGTTGCAGCATTAATTGCCCTCAAATCATGTACCATACGGTAGACCACAGGTTTCCCTTTCTCTTGCTTTTTCTTAATTGGGTACAATGGTGTGTTGCAAGGGTAGGTGGGCTGGACAACTACCCCTGCCTGCAGAAACTCTTGCACAGATTGGGAAATAGCATCTTCCTGTGCTGGGCTTATTTTGATAGGGAGGTGTGGGTCCGGGCAGGAGATTCACTTTGACTGGGGGCACAGAGAGTCTGCCTGTATCTGTCTTCCCTGTAGCCCATAAGGAATCAGGGACTGAGGACAAGTCAATGGTAAGTTCTGGCACATGGCTGGGCATAGTGAGAGTTGCCAGAACATTTGAAAGAGATATCATTTGTTTGTCCTCCAAAGGCACAGACAATGTTACTTTTCCAGTGGGGCTATACTGGATAGACAGTATAGAGCAGACAGTATATCACTGCCTTGTAGATTAGCAGGGGCATGAGGGCTGACAAGTAGCCTGGTTACAAGGGCAGTAGAGTCGTGTAGCTTCAATTTCAGCTTGTGGGTAAGGGGAATGTCATTTTCGATACCATCCACCCCTACACATGATAATACATCATTAGATTTCTCATACGGGAACACATATTTTTCCTGTAACATTGATTTAGCAGCGCCAGTGTCCAACAGGAAAGGGACTATTCGGTCCCCGGGCAGTGTAACATTAATAATGGGTGAGGGTCCTGCAGAGTCAGGGATATTTATAATATGTAGGGACACTGGTTTGCCAATTTCCTATTGGGGGGGAGGTGGTTGGCTGTCATGGGAGTTATCATTAGAATCCTGAGGTTTTCTATTTTTAGGAGGACACTTGCAGTTACGTTTAATGTGTCCTTTCCTGCCACAATTCCAGCAGTCTACCTGCCTTCTGTCTCCACCAGCTCTAGGGACAGTTACAGCCATTAGAGGTGTGCTCTTCTTTCTAGTATTTAGATTACCTTCCACTCCCCTTGACACCTTCACCAGATCACCATAGGTCAAACTTCTCCACTCAGGTCTATCATTTTGGAGACCAGCCTTATGGGTATGTGAATACCATCCATGAAGCAGTTAATAAGCAGTCTGGTCGAAGTGGTTACCACAGTGGTTACAACATCTGTGTAACCCAATGCCTCCCAAGCCATCTGTAGTCTGGTGAAGAATGTTTCTACAGAGTCATCTTTCCCTTGAAGTATATCTCCTAATTTATGGGCTAGTTCCTCTGTCTTTACCTTAGCCCATTCTCTCATTGCAGTGACATAGCATGCTACAGATGCAGACTTGGTTTTAAACCATTCATCTGTTTGGCTTTTGACACTGTTGATCATCAACAGCTTCTTCTCATCCTCCGCAATATCGGTCTATAAGTTATTGCTCTCTCCTGATGCTCCTCCTACCTCTCCCAGCGCTCTTTCAGTGTTTCTTTCTCCGGCTCTGCTTCTCCTACCCAACTCCGCTCTGTTGGTGTCCCCCAAGGTTCAGTCCTTGGTCCCCTACTGTTCTCTATCTATACTGCCTCCCTTGGTAAACTCATTATCTCCTTTGGCTTCCAATATCATTTCAATGCGGATGAAATGCAAATCTACCTGTCCTCTGCTGATCTCTCCCCGTACCTCTTGACTAGTGTCTCTGACTGCCTCTCTGCTATTTCTAACTGGATGGCTGCCCACTTCCTTGAACTCAACTTGACCAAAATTTAAATTCTAGTCTTCCCTCCCTCAAGTGTTGCTACTCCTGTGCCTCCCTCCAACTCAACGGTGCTATCATCTGCTACACCACGCAAGCTTGCTGCCTAGGTGTCCTCTTTGACTCCAACCTCTGCTTCACACCTCATGTTCAGTCTATTGCCAAATCCTGTCGTTTCCATCTGAAAAACATTGCGCATATCCGACCCTACTTAACGCCAGATGCGACTTAGGTGCTGGTCCATTCCATTGTCCTTTCTTGGCTTGACTACTGCAATCCACTTCTCAGTGGTCTTACATGCTCCCAACTTGCGCCATTACAGTCCATAATGAATGTGGCGATGAGGCTTATCTTCCTGTCCCACGCCTCACCCTTCTGTCAGTCCCTATATTGTCTTCCTTTAAGATATAGAGCTCAATTTAAAATTATTTTTCTTGCTTTCAAATCTCTACATAAGGCTGCTCCTACCTATCTATCCTAACTAACACGCAAGTATGTGTACCTATCTAGGCCCTTATGCTCTGCTGAAGACTTACGTCTATCTTCTGTTAGAGATGTCGTGAACCGTCCGCGAACTTCTCGTGAACGGTTCGCCGTGGTTCGCCACGAATGCTGACACATCCCGGACAATCTCCGGCAGACCCTCCCTCCCAGACCCTCCCACCTCCTGGACAGCATCCATGTTGAAGCTGCCTTCAACATGGATGCTGTCCAGGAAGTAGGAAGGTCTGGGAGGGAGGGACTGCCGGGATGTGTCAGCTGAAGTTCGCGGACGGTTCGCGACATCTCTATCTTCAGTCCGTTCTCCCACCTCTGATGCTCGTCTTCAAGACTTTTCGAGGGCTGCACCGTTCCTGTGGAACTCACTTCCCTCCTCTGTTAGATGCTCACCCAGTCTCCACTCCTTCAAAGAAATCATTAAAAACCCACTTCTTCGTCAAAAAAGTGCGTATCAATTAAACTGTTAATAGCTGCGGACTGATTCCTCTCTTGCAACAGTCATTAGTCTAATACTATCCTTAGTATTGTGTCACTTTACCCCACTCCCTCTAGAATGTAAGCGGAGCTGCAGACTGCAGATTGTCACTTCCATACAATCTTATGCTCATATGTGTCACAGAGAGGCCTACACCCCACCACATCATTCAGTGGTTGATGGTGGGGAGGTTAGTGGTGGGGGGTGATGCTGAGGGAGGGGGGGTTGATGGTGGGGGGGTTGATGGGTGATGGGGGCTGATTCTGAGGGAGAGGGTGACTGGGGGAGGGAGGCTGATGGTGGGGGGCTGATGGTGAGTGATGCTGAGGGAGGGGGATGATGAGGGGATAATGGTGGGGCTGATGCTGAGGAGGTTAATGGGGGGGTGATGCTGGGGATTGATTGTGAGGGGGGTGATGCTGAGGAGGGGGTGATGAGAGGGACCGTATATCTTAATATAACCTGGTGGTCCCGGGCATTACTCCAGTCTGGGGGATGATGGTGAGGGGGGAGGATGATGAGAGGGAGGGGTGATGATGAGATGGGGGGATGGGTGGAGGGAGGGTTGATGGTGAAGGTGGATGATGGTGAGGAGGGGGTTGATGGTGATGGGGAGCATGATGCTGAGAGAGGGGTTATGCTGAGAGGGGTTTATGATGGGGTGATGCTGATGGAGGGGGGGCTGATGGGGGTGATGGTGAGAGGTGAGGGATGCTGAGGGAGGGGGTGGTGCTGAAGGAGGGGGTGATGCTGAGGGAGGGGATGCTGGAGGGGGGATGGTGGGGTGGTTGGGGGTGATGCTGAGGGGCTAATGGGTGAGGGGGATGCTGGGGGGCAAGGATGGATGTGAGAGGGACTGCATATCCAATATAACCCCAGGTCCGGTGGCATTACTCCAGTCTGGGGGATGATGGTGAGAGGGAGGGGATGGGGGAGGGGGGATGATGAGAGGGGTGATGGTGTGAGGGAGGTGCTGATGGTGAAGGTGGATGATGGTGAGGGAGGGATGCTGAGGAGGGGTGATGCTGAGGAGGGGGTGATGCTGAGGGAGGGGCGATGGTGGGGGTGGTTGATGGGGGGGGGTGATGATGATGGGGGTGATGCTGGGGAGGGGTTAATGGTGAAGGGGTGATGCTGGGGATTGATTGAGAGGGGGGTGATGCTGAGGGAGGGCGGATGAGAGGGACCGCATATCTTAATATAACCTGGTCCGGTGGGCATTACTCCAGTCTTGGGGATGATGGTGAGAGGGAGGGGTGATGATGAGGGGCAGGGGTGATGAGAGAGGGGGTGATGGTGAAGGAGGGTGTTGATGGTGAAGGTGGATGATGGTGAGGGAGGGGGTTGATGGTGATGGGGGTGATGCTGAGGTAGGGGGTGATGGTGGGGGGCTTGATGTGGGGAGTGATGCTGAGGGAGGAGTGATGCTGAGGAGGGGGGCTGATGGTGGGGGTTGATGGGTGATGCTGAAGGATAATGAGGGTGATACTGAGGGAGGGGCTGAGTGAGGGGGGTTGATGTGGGGCTGAGGGGGGGATGATGCTAAGGGCGGGGTGGTGATGTGAGAGGGGACTGCATATCTTAATATAACCCTGGTGGTTCAGTGGGCTCCCTGGTGGTCCGGTGGGCATTACAGAGCACTTTATTGGATTGTTTTTTTTTTTACAACAGGCTGATCACTGTTTAGTAGACATGTACCTACTCGCAGTATAGCAAGTAGGAGCAGGAGGGAGTTTTCAATCTCCCTTATCTAGTAATACTAAGTAATTTTTACTTAGTGTTAGCAAAGCAGGCTGAATGACCAATTTTGGTCTTTCACTGTTTAGTAGATGGCTCCCTAATACTGTAGGAATTAGGGGGCTATCTACTAAGCACCTGCGAGATGTAACCACGGCATGAATTGTATCGGAATTTCATTCATTCAAAGGAAATTTCGAACTAAAAAAAAAAGCACAAATTCAGTGAATTTGCCGGTCCCCTATCTATATGACAGGACATTTGAAGCTGCGCAAGAACACCAGAGGAAGGGTGAGTATCGTGGGAAGATTTCTTTGACCACAGGAAATGGAGCGGACTTAAACTCCTCCTTTGGTCAAAGAAGGTCAAGTACAGGAAAATACATACGACAAAGTAGGCCCCAATTTGTCTAATGTTTTAAAGAAAACAAGATCAGATAAGAACAATAGGAGAAATTTTAACTTCTGTATTGACAGTGCCATTTTAATATAATCTTCCTAAATAGGGTGAAGCAAATGGGATTCTGTTGAATCTATTCTATCTTTCTTTCTTAATTTATCAAAGAAATCTTCCATTTGGGCTCTGGTGCCACTCCAACACACAAAAACATAATCTATAAATCGCTTTCATGTGAGACACTTTTTAAAAGTGGAAGTGTAAAGATTTATAGTTCTTCCATGCGATTCATGTAGACGTTTGCGTATGTTGAGGCTACATTCAAGCCCATAGCAGGGTTCTTGATCTGTTTCTAAAATGTATCTTCACACAGAAAGTAATTTTCTGTCAAAATAAATCTCAGTAGTTTCAATATGTATCCCATGTGTCCCTTTACTGAGCTATATCCTTATCTTTATTTAAAGTCCAATTTTCAGTTTGTATTCCGCCTTCGTGGTCAATTGAGATATAAAGTGACTGTATAGGGTTACTGATCAATAATCTTCATTATCTGTTATGGTGAAGTTCTCTATTAGTTTAAGAAATTTTGTGGTGAGATGGTATACAACATTTCTGTGAGAGTTTGTCATATGGAACCTGTACCACTTACTAAAGGCCTACACGGAGAGAACTGTGGATTTGTAGGTATTTTGGGAGAGTATTATTATTATTATAATTGCCATTTATATAGCGCCAACAGATTCCGTAGCGCTTTACAATATTATGAGAGGGGGGATTTAACTATAAATAGGACAATTACACGAAAGCTTACAGAGATGATAGGTTGAAGAGGGCCCTGCTCAAACGAGCTTACAGTCTATCGGAGGTGGGGTATAAAATACATTAGGACAGGAAATAGCAGTCAAATTAGGTGGGAGTGAAGCAGAGCTGGAGGAGAGAGTAGAGTGCTGCCCTTTTAGGAGAGAGCAAGAGACATGTATGTAAGGTAGAGGTTAGTCTGGGAGGCCATAGGCTTTCCTAAATAAATGGGTTTTAAGGCCCTTCTTAAATGATTGAAGACTAGGGGAGAGTATGATGGTGGTAGGTAGGCAATTCCATAAGAAGGGAGCCGCCCGCAAGAAGTCCTGCAACCGCGAGTTGGCCGTACGGATGCGAACAGCGGACAGAAGGTAGTCACGGGCAGAGCGGACAGACAGACATACCTATGGATCTGTGAGGAGATATAAGAGGGACTAAGATTATTCAGTGCTTTAAAGGTATGGGTTAGCGGAATTGACTCCTAAAGTAAACAGAAAGCCAATGTAAGGACTGACAGATGGGTGAGGTGTGAGAGGACTGACTAGAGAGGAAAATTAATCTGGCGGCAGCATTCATTATAGACTTTAGCAGGGCAAAATTAGGAGAGTTACAATAGTCCAATGCGAGAGATTACTAGAGCATGGACAAGCTCTTTAGTAGCATCTTGTGTGAGAAAGGGGCATATGCGGGCAATGTTTTTGAGGTAGAATTGGCATGATTTGAAAACAGACCAGATGTGAGGCCATATTAACATTAGGCCATGTTTAAGGACAGCAGGAACAGTGCCAGAAGAAAGAGAGCAGTTGAAGATGTGTGTTAGGGAGGACACAAGACAAGAGGAGAGAGATCTGATAAGGTGAGACGGGGCAGGATCAAGTGGGCAGGTGGTGGGGTGAGAGGAAAGGATAAGTGCAGCCACCTTTTGTTCAGTAGCCTGGGAGAAGGTCGGAAGGGTTGGAGAGGCATGATCCAGGTGAGGTTGAGAAAGTGAGGGGCAAGGTGGTGAGAATTCTTTCCTTAGCTGTTCAATCTTGTCAGTAAAGTAACATGCAAAACTATCGGCTGTAAGGTTAGTTTGGGGGGTGGACGCAGCAGGGCAAAGAAGAGAGTTAAAGGTATCAAAGAGACACCTGGGATTGTGAGAGCATGAACGAATAAGAGAAGAAAAGTATGAGAGTATAAAGCAGGAACAATTGGATGTCTCCTATTCTTGAGAGTATATTCTCCTTCTGTTATTTTACCCTTTGTCTTGGTCCAATTATTGTGTCTGAAGTTCTATTTTTAGTCTGCCAGTCAGATCAATATCTATTGGTTGATAGCTTGTTGTGTCGCTCAGTTGTGTCTTTATTTATTTAGTGTAATAGGTGAAGTCCATAATTACAAGCACTATCCCTTTATCGCTGGCTCATCCCCCAGGCTTTTTTTGTGCTGAATCCTATCACCCGGTTTTGTGTCTGCTGTCTCTCCTCTACCACAGAAACAACTCCTGCAGCTTCCAGCCTGTCCGAGATACATTGTTACTAACACACTGCAAAGCGAATAAAGAAGGATATATCTTCCAGTACGTTTGGTCATTTAAAGAAAGAATATTCTAGAATATTGTTTGACCGGCATACATCATGACTCTATATTAAAGAGTGAATTTTGTGGAAAACAAAAAATAAGAGTTCAGAGAGGGAAAAGAAACAGAAAATGCCCCCTTCCTTTGCATTGTCTGCCCTGGTGTACTTGAGTTGAAAGAAGTATTGAAGAATCACTTCCTATTGTCCAGCTATATCCTACATGTGGGGAGTTTCAAATACCACTGTATGCCATTTTACCTAGAGCTGGGCATAGCTCTATATATTGTGAGTTGGCACTTCTCTATTTCTGTGTTGTCTGTGACACCATCTCCTAATGGTTTTGCACTATTGATCCCTCTTTGTTTTTGCTTTTGTTTTTCATATTAACTACTGAGGACTCAATCAAGAACCAAAGAATACCTACCTAAGGTCCACCTTGCATTTTCAGAGACTCTTTTATCCTTTCTGTAAATATTATCTCTCATTTGTTCCATTTAGCGCACCCGCAGGGCAAGTAATTAATGAGTGCTTTCCTGACGAACGCCACCAATGGGGAGATGCGTGGTCTTCGCACCGGGACTCCGTAAACGGGTCCCTGAGGTTGGTGGGGACACTGTTGGGGTACTGGCAGTTGGGATCGCCCTACCTGCTCCTAACAGAGCTATAACCACTGCTCTCCCTACCCAGGAGCTGTGAGGCCAGGCTCGCAAGCTGCCTAAAGAGCACTCTCTATGGTTCTACCTAAGTGGAGTTATCCATCGGAGAGAGATGCAGAATCCCTGGAGCTGTGAGTCGGCCTTGCAGCCTCAGGCTTCTCACTGGCCGCCTGGAAGTCAGTGCCGACTCATGAGAGAAGGAGCACCCATTCAAACTGGATTTGTGCCATTCTTCTGATAGGTCGGCACGGGTGAGCGCTGATTGGTCGCTGCGGGGCGCAGGCGATCAATCGGAGAAGAAGCGCTATTCAAATGGGGTTTCACACCCTTTTTCCTGATTGGGCGGCGAAACCCCTCTCCTCCCTGACCGCTGATTGGCGCAAATTGGTTTCACACCTTTCACCTGACTGGCTATTGCTTGGTTTGGGTGCGAAGTTTGAATTTAACAGGCTAAACTAAGCAATTCCATGGAACTGATTTCGGGGATGTACAGAGCCTTTAGCCCAGACTTTACACCATGGTTTCTCGGGCTCTGTACATCCGATAGCCCCACTATTTACAGGGATCCTAGATTGGACCCGGGGCTATCCAGTGATATGTGTTTCATATGTGTAACCCCCTTCCCGGGGCGCAGAGCCTCTAAGTGTTCCATTTATGTAATGTGTTTTTGTGTGTAACTGTATGAGCTGTTGGTATCTCCCAGGGTTATTGGTTAACCATCTCTCTCCAGCCTGGGAGTGTGTTGTACTGAATTGAGACCCCCTGAGGGGGTCTGTGCATAAAAGAAAGCTGTGGCAATAAAGCATTGTCAGTGTTTTTACCTGCAGAACTGTGTGGCGACCAGTTACTTGGGGGTAAATGGATGCCTGCTTGTTGTAAGGGTTCCTGAATGGCTGAAGGAAGGGAACTAGCGGAGGTAACCGGTCAGGCTACCCAGGGTCCACTACAGAGACCATGCCTCGATGCATTAGAGTTGTTTTGGCAGCATGAGAGAGATCAGGTGATTTTAATGTTCTGGCTGACCAGTGTATATCTTTCTTCTTCTATCAGCATCCCCATAAAAGGCCAAGTAAGACTTAGTGCCAGATACCACAGGAAACGTTCAAAGGTCTTGCAGAGACTGGAACTGAGTATCATGCCCACTGCATATCCATGTGTCTTCCCCTTGTATTGTAATGCAATAGACCCTATGCACTGATCACAGGATAAGGATGGGTGAGACACTAAGTTCCTTTGTTCATATTAATATGATTAAAAGCCCCACCTGCTGTGCCCCACATTATTAATTATTTATATATGAAGGCATAGGCCCTTCTGCTTATTTTTTAATAATGTCCCCACCATGGGGGAGTGAATGTGTTCTTTACATTGAAGTATTTTCTCCCTGTACATTTCTAGTCCCTGTTGTGGTTCATTTCTTGGTAATACTATTGCGTTGGAATTTACTATGTTTTCTCTGGTTATTGACTCGACTTGTACTCTGACTATTCTGATCTCTGGTATACTTGACCCAGCTATAGTCTCTCGATTTCCTGTCTTCTGGTTCCCTTGATATCTTGCTTATCTTGACTATTCTATCTCTGTTGCATTAAGCTTGGCCATTATAAGGTCTGGTAATATGATCACATAGGATTTACTATGTGAAGATAACTGTGCCATCATCAGCCCATACCGTACAACGTAAGGGGAATGTCAGCCTGGCCAAATCCATGCCAGGATGATTGACAGCCTGTCTGGTCCCCCCTTAAAACAGAAGACTATACAGACAGCAATGAGAGAATTGGGAATTATTAAATTCATTTTAAGTGAATTTCAAATTCAAGACCAATATAGCCAAACTAAAAGCATAGCCAACTTAAAGAATTCTTCCAGGTAGTATATTTTGGCTCTGAATCGCAAATTCTATCTATAATGAGCATATTGTATATATTTCAATGGCATCAAATAGAAGGAATTTTATAAATATGTATTAAAATATTTTCAAATTACACAAGTGTTATTATTTTCCTAGCAAGAGTAAAGTGTATTTATTTTTCCATTATAATTTTCACTGTTTCTGGTTCTCCGCTGAGAATTATTTTGATTGCTCCCGCAGAGCCTTTGATGTCTCATACGTGCATATAAATGTCTGCTCACATTGTGTTGCCATTAATCGATATTGAGCATCATGTATCCATTAGAGAGATATTGTTGAATTTCTCTAATCTGGTTAACTGCTGCACTTGCCAGCTGTTGTGTGTATATTAGTATACATACCACTGCATCATTGTAAGTAATCTTCCCCTGTTTATGTTTTATATTGTTGTGCCTCATCTGATATTTTAAAACTTTGTGCTTCCACCAAACAGTTAACATCTTGAGAGGCTTTTTATTGAATTGCAATTAATTTATGTGATAGAAATGATTACTTACAATGAGACAGACTTTATCCTCCTTGGTTTTTCTGGAAAAGTTAACACTGAGCCAGTCATATTTGCGGGACTCCTTTTAATTTACTGTTTGTCTCTGTTGGGTAATTTTGTCATACTTAGCACTACCTTTATGGACCAGAAACTACATATCCCCATGTATATGTTTCTCTGCAGTCTTTCAATTGTAGATATTTGTTTTTTGTCTTCGACTGTTCCCAGACTCCTTGCTTCCCTGGCAACTCACAATGGTCATATCTCTCTCTCCAGTTGTCTTTTGCAGTTCTTCTTTTACTACTCTTTTGGTGCCATAGAGTTTGGTTCCCTGGCTGTGCTGTCTATTGATCGATACCTTGCCATTTGCCATCCATTAAGATACAGTGCTGTTATGACCAGACACGTATGTTCTAGAGTCATCCTTGGTGTATGGATTTTTGGTTTCCTGAAGTTCCTTCCAACTTTCATTTTCCTGTTAAAGTTAAAATTTTGTGGTAGGCCTACCATCATTAAGCACTTTTTCTGTGATGGTTCTGCACTATTAAATGTGTCCTGTTCCGACACCCGTCTGGTGGGATACATTTTCCTATGGACGACAATATTTGGTATTGTCGTTTCTATCATCCCTACTTTGCTTTCATACAGTTTCATCCTCTCATCTATCTTCAAAATAGCTACATCTAGTGGAAGAAAAAAGACATTCTCTACTTGCTCCGCACACCTTCTAGTTGTATCAATGGTCTATGGAAGCTGTATATTCATCTATATTCGGCCAGCAGGATCTACATCCAGCACTTTAGAGATGATTGTAGCTGTAATCAATAGCATTTTAAATCCATTGCTAAATCCTTATATTTATACGTTAAGGAATCAAATGATTAAGAACACAGTAAAAGGTTTTTGCATGGCTAAATGAACACTAACAATTTAAAAAATAAAAATAAATACTATACATTTTCTATTCTGAAAGGACTAAAACAGAAGAATAGACAGCTTTATATTTTACTTTCAGTTACAAGATTGACATTGTTTTATAATTTTTTGACTCTCTTAATTACATCTAGCACTTGCAGTCAATAAGCTGGCCCAGCCCTAGTGGCTGCGACAGATGCCTTGGGACCCCAGGTAAGTTGTCAAACCATTCGCAAATAGTTTGACTATTTACCCTGGGAGCAAGGGCATACCTAGGTAACTAAAAACTATATAAAAGTTTTGTTTGTGTGTCTCTCTGCACACCCTCACACTCAAAGTTAGCACATGCTCTCTTTTGAATACATGCGTTATTGATTTCTTTGGACTAAGTGCTTCCATTTTGGCTCTAAACTCAGTACTGTCAATTCTGTGTAACAAATGTAACTTCTTCTTCTTCAAGCTAACTGGAGTCATGAGGGACGTTAATTGTGTTTCAGGACTGTGGTGAACGGTGTTAAACTGAAAAAGAGAATGTTATATTGGATCAGTGAGAAGGGCTACAGCTGTGAGGCATGTGGCTAATGTGAATGTAGAGTGTGAGGATGTGAGTCAAATAGATTGCACAAGTAAAAAGTATGCAGAAAATAAAACCTCAACAGACATCAGAACATGGTCCAGGAGATGTATTGGTCTACAATACATTTTGTACTGCTAATGCTTAGAATATTAAAGTGATTATTTTGGGAAAGTATAATTTTAAGTTGCTATGCTGAGTTGCAACTAATTTTATGTTGATCTTCGAATCATGACATATGACATAATTGTTTCAGTGTTTCAGGTTGCAGGTAGTAACTTTGATTTCCCTATACTGATTTAAGGAAGAAACCACCTCTTGCCAGAATGTCTGCTAAAAAATCTCCCTGCAGGGCTTTGCTTTCTGTAGAAGACAGGTACTTCTGCTTATGATTTTGTTGTTATCTAGAGCAAATTGTCAACTGTTGGGGGCTTCTAGATTGGAACATCATGGGATAGTGGCTGAACCCATCTCTGCCAGACCATTGGACACTCAACTGACCATTCACTTAAAAGGTAAGCCATGCCCTTATAACATGGCATTCAGTTTATTTGTTGAGAATCCTGAGTGGTACGCTGGTGGATGAGATGAGGCTAGTTTTGTTTATCCCAACTGAACCTGAATCATGTTTATTGATCAGTGGGCAGTATTACCATAAGACTGTGTACCCTGAAACAGACTTTGTGTTTCCAGAGGACTATGGATCTGAGAGATAAACTGTGTCTGGAGAACTGTATGTAAAATAAATAAGTGAATAAATAAATAGATAATTTGGAATGTTCCTCTGACATACAGGAACATTTGAGAGCACCTATGAGAAGTCCTCAATAACGTATGCAACCTAGGAGACTGCAGAGAAACTTTTGGGAAAATAACATAATCAGTGGAGTTACACAGACAAGCTTAGATAACTGTGATTTCTTTTGGGAAGAATATGGTTGGTGTACAGGCAATACGAGAGTAAGGCTGAGTTTCAGTTGTTAAGCACCCCACATCCTATGCTACCTAAAAGGAAGTGACCAGAGGATTATGGATGAATGCGGTCCAACTTAGTCTGAATTTGTGACCTCACTGTCTCCCAAATGATAAATACAGTTGTGAGAACAGATTCAAAGGAAAGTTCAGTTTGTGCAAAAACCTAAATAAAGTAAAATGAGATAATTAAGAAAATGCAGATAAACTCAAGAGAAAATGTGATATAAAAGATCAATAGAATAGTATACACCACAGAGATATGTTATGATGTAATAAATAAATACTGCATCAGGCAAAAAGAGGTATGAATACGAGTTCTTAAACATGATAAAAGAATAGTTAATTTGGAAGATTATAGTTAGAGAGCTGATTTAAAAAATAGAATGGCTCCATCTATTGTGATCTATGGAAAAATATATCAGCTTAATAACTTCTTAATACATACTCTATGTACTTGGACTATTGAGTGTTACAGTCATTGCTGTCACCCAAGTGTAATGGGAGTTTGAGTGCTTGAGGTGTGTTTTATAAAAGCTTTGAGCTTTAAAGGTTTATAGTTGCTGGAAGATAAACTAGATATTTGTGAGGGGTTAAGCTGTGTGTTTTGGATTAGTTGGTGATTGAATGTTATTGAAGTATGTTTTAAAAGACTGGAGAAAATCTGCATTGTTGTAAACTAAATAGAGAATCGTGTTTTATGCATAGAATTCAGTAACTTAATCACCAGTAGCATCATTCATTCATCAAGTTTGGTATTGCTATATAAAATAAAATATATCCAGAAAACAAAATAAACTGGCAGCACTTAAAATAATATAAAACAAATGGATTGAATATTTTCAAAAGTCAAAGGTAATATGTACACCCTCCAGACCAAATAGTTTTAAATTAATATGAATAATATATACCAATTAATGTACTACAATCTCAATAATAGTGCTGGTTAAATTTCAATAGACAGACACAATGAGAGTTACTCAATTTCGAATAGTTTGGCCTTAAATTTGAAATCCACTCTAAATTCACTTCCATTTCTCACTATAGTAAATAACCCTGTATGCTTTAAAACTTGGCAGTCCATCTAGTTACATAAAAGGACACAGTAATATTTTCATGCGATACTGCAAAAGTGTAAATAATCTTTTTTTTCAAATGCCCTATATTTTGCTTTAGCAAACACAGACTGGTGAGAGCCATCACCACTCCAGTTATGCCTTTAAAAAATACAGTGAAGCGCCATTTAACACTGTATTTTAATGTATAACTGAAGTGGTGATGGCTGCTTGGTATATCTAGCCTTTTTGGATTCCACCAGTCCATGCTTGTAAAAGGAAAATGTAGGATTTTTTAAAAAGAAGATTATTTACACTAAATTGTGATATTTGATACTCTCCTGCCACTGGAAACAGAGAAGATGGTTACATAGTTAGGTAGTTATACAGACTGAAAAAGAAACATGCATCCATCAGTTTGATGCTCTTTCCAATTTTGCAACAAACTAGTAAAAAACTATTTCTCAACTCAAAAATGACAGTCAGATCTCTCCCCGGATCAAGAAGTTGTTACCCCACATTAAAAATGATATCCCGCAATATTAGATTTTTGAAGGTATTCATCCATTTGCTGTTTAAATATCTGAACAGACTCTGATAAAACCACCTCTTTAGGCATAGAATTCCACATCATTTTTGTTCTTATTGTAAAAATTCCTATCCTTAAACTAAATTTCCTTTCTTCCAGTCTATTTGGTGTATTAATTATTTTTTTTTTTATGTTATTTTGTTACATTTACTCTCTGCTTTGTTTTGTTAATAATCTTTGAATAAGAGAAATTGGATTTCAAATTAGAGACATATCTTTGAAGGTGATGTTATCTGTAGTCAAATTTATTTATTTAGTTGCTTTTTTTTTTAGTTGTTGTGTATATATTTATGATGTAAGTATGTGAAGAAAATACAATGAATAAAGATTGTTAAAAAAAAGAATACAGTAAAGACTTGTAGTAAGATTATCCCACCCTACAATATAGAGCTGGTGCCTTAAAACAATGGCAAGGATACAAGGCACTGTGGTGCCCCAGTATTTAACCACCATAACTATAATATACAACAATATAGAGCTCATTGTCAATCAGAGTATCTAAGTTAGATTGCATTTTGCCATTCGGCATATGTCACACCAGAAATGCAATGTCCACAGTTAACTACATTGTGAGCTCCTGATTACATTGAACAGCACTGAAAATCAGGACTTTATCTATAGATGTCCACCAGCAGTTGTTGAAGAAACTTGCGAAAGTTATTGTACAAGTTACTGTGTCCTTTTATGTTTAATAAATTTCTTCTATTTTGCTATTTTATGCACTTTGGTTTAATAGGTTCATTTTTTTACAAGCAAAGTTGCGGAAGTGCTGGTTTAGCAACAATATTAATTATTGGTATTATCGCTGATACCATTTATGGGATTTATTTTTTTTACTGGTAGTTAATATTGTATTTGTGCTTACACAAACACAAACACACACACACACAAACACACACACGTTATTACAAGTCACTTTTGACTTGTACCACTAAATTACTAACCACTAAATTTGAAAATCACTGTCTACTCTACAAAGTTCAGAAACATGTTGTGATTAAGATATAATATATTTTCTTTTGCCTATCTTGTAATTCCATAGAGATTGTGGTCAGTCAGTCCGTAGAGTGTTTATAACTAGCCCTAAATACCAAGCACAAACATTATAGCAATCTAAATAAGATAGTTTGGATTTCCCTGCATTCATCCTTACTGTAATTTATATATGAAGTATACAGCATAGTTCAATATGTCCTGGATTATTTTATGTTTCATTTATAATTGACTGCTGCTATTAATTGTCATTTGTTAAAAATATTCTTTTTTATTATTATTTAGCTTTTTTAAATAATGGCTATTTCTGTACATGTGAAATAATTGTTTGTAAAGTTGATGTGCAAGTTATATTGTTACATTGTTCCTTGTTTTTTACAGTAAAATAATTGACAATGCTTCCATATGGAGCAAGTCTGAATAAATAGGAGGTCTCTTCACATAGGATACCTGTAAATTATATGAAATTATAAATTGTACTAATGATTGTCTTTTGACCCAGATAGAGAGAGGAGTATAATGTGTAATGGGATGTTTCTAAAACTTATGTATGTACAGTTTATAGATGAAAGTCTGAGATTCAACCTGTATTCAATCACATCCATGCTTAATATCTAATTTTACTGAATAGCTCTGTCTAATTAGGGCCTTTTATTATCATGTCCCGGTTAACATTTAAAAAGTCATCTTTGATTAATAATGTCAGTAAAGTTGTTAACTGCCGCTCATGAATGTAGAAATCTAAAACTGCTGCAGGGAAATCTGCCATTGCAATACTTTTACCCCTCTGTGTGACACAGAATGTGAGGTTTATTTCGTTATCTTAATTATGGTCATGAAATAGAACATTATCTATAGTAATTAGTAGTGTCATTTTAAAGTGGCCTCCTTGAGATTTTGAATAAAGTCAGATTTTCAATTTGTAATTTTAGTGCTTAATGCTGAAATTATTAAACACTTTTTTTGAATTGCTGTGTTAAGGTTAGGAGTTTATTTAAATGTGGATAGATTTGTGTTTCTATATCATCACCTCTGCTGGGTATCCGTTCTGTATACTCTATCTTTTTGTTTTCTGTCTTGTAGGATAATATAATGGCACATTTGTTTAGGCTGTGTAGAAGCACTGTAGAAAATTATACGCTTGTGTTCTATATGAGTTAAAAAGTATATCTTGCATTGTGTATTTTGGTGATTTTGTGCGTTGTATCATAATGAGCACTGTCTGTCTAAGCGTTAAGGAATAAAGAAAACAGTGGACTTCTTCTTTCCTGTGTGTACATAAATATTTGGTGACTCCAGAAAAAAAACATGTGTTTTATAAGAAAATATACATATATCTAGAAAAGCTAGTGAACCATGGATAACCCCAGTCTTATAGTGCAATGGTTCCTAGAAGGTTTAAACAATATGATCTGAGAACAGGATTCCCAGAATTTTTAAGATCAAGGGCCCAGAGAAATATCTAAAATGCACCTATGGTAACCTGTCACTTCAGAGGTTAATGACATTTTTTTTAATGCCACCAAGGATTACCACACATTGGATGGGGAAGTGAGAGACATGACATCATCAACACAATGTACAAAGCTGTGTGATATAACTAGCAAGGAATGTAATACAGGTCTCAAGATCAAGCTTACTCCCTGCTGGGGTTATTACTGTTGGGTTCATGCTTTAAATGTTGTGGGATATTGCTGTTATGAGTCCATTGGAACCCTTGTAGAGACTAACTACATATGGGCTAACGTCAATTCTAATGTCAAAAAAGACAACTATGAACTATGGGAGCACCCTAGTTACTATTTTACTATGGGCCTGGACTATAATATACAATATCTATCCAAGACCCTATTGCCCTTTATGGCTAAATCATATCAAATTGCCTTTATCTCTAAACATGATAGCTCCGATATTCAGTTACCTCGTAGGGTGTACTATCTTTGAGGATCATGACCTTTAAAAACTAAGGGTCGAAACGTCGAGCACTGAAAACTTTTTCTGCATATGTAATTTGCATCTGAGAATAAATTAACCACTTGTTAAAACCTGTGAGTGCACCTTATATGTATTTTTGATATTTACATATAAGGTGCACTATTTAAAAAATTCAACTGTACCTTGCACACAGGCTCCTAGTTTTTCAAAACCGGGTGCATAGCCAGGGCTTGAATATCCATATAGTCAGGTAGAATGGCTGCACTCATGGATTTTCCAATAAAAATTAACTTTTATTCAAGTTCCCATAAAACAAATCGACGTTTCAGTCCAGGTAATTAATCCTGATGAAAGTCCACAGGCTGAACTGAAACGTCGATTTGTTTTATGGGAACTTGAATAAAAGTTAATTTTTAGTATACAATAAAAGATAGGTGAGGGCACACTACATAGAATAACACTTTAGATTACCCTTGAATGTAAGATATACTCCGTGCTTCATTCACTCCTGCATATAAAATATAAAAACAGGAAAAAACACTCATAGGGTAATAACGTAAAAACCTTAAAATATTAAAAAACAAATAAGGTTTCACTCACATGATCATGAGCCACTTAAAATAAGCTGGGTCAGACTAAAAGCGTAGGAAATATCCGTCCATGGTACTTCACACATCAGGCTGTTCCCCCTTCGTGGTCTTATTAGTAACTTAAAATATTCCAGGATGCAAGGAATAAAATAAAACTTTATTGGACACACTATAAATTTGGGGTAAAAACTGGGTACAATATAATAAAAGTCCACTTTATAAAATAAAACTTAACACGTTTCGGCTAGAGCCTTTATCAAAAGTCTATTTTTCTTATTTCACTTCAATCTTTAAATATCCGGTTTGGCGACCTTTTTTTGGCGCCTTTTTTTAGCTTTTGCGCCTTTTTTTGTGTTCATCCGGTTCTGAGTAGCATCCTGCGTCTTCACCTTTCACTTCCGGTTCGCGTCATGACGCAACTTCCGGTCTCTGTGTCATGACACAACTTCCGGCGACGTCACTTCCGGTCTCTACATCTTGGCGTCCTTCCGGTTTCAGCAAGCTAAAAACTGCCAATACTAGAAATGTCCCTTTTCGGCAGTTTATTGGCAAAGAAGTCTCTTAAATTCATTTCAACATATTTAAAGTATTTCACATATCAAACAGGGGAAAAAAAATATATTCATAATTTCTTTTCGAACAGTATTAAACATTGAGAACATACATTTTTATTATTTTTACATAAAGGGGAGAGAGAAAAATATATATATAGTTTAATCATTTTTATATATACATAAGTACAGTTTATTAGAGAGTGAGACATTTTTACTAGGGAGATCAACCCATATGTGGAGAAGAAAAAGATGTATAAAAAATTTATAGAATTATGAATAATATAAAATCTGTGTAAAATATATGTAAAAATATATATATATATAAAATATATATGATATATATAAAAATCTTATTAAAAAAGTTTATATGTATATAAATTTAGAAAAAAGGAAGTAAATGAGAACAATATATAAATGAGGTAAAAAAATATATATACACTCATTTAAAATATATATATCTCTTTAAAAATCAATTAATTGATTAATATAAACTGTATCAGTTATATGTATGGGGTGATCTCAAAATCCACATTAAGTCCTTGTGGATTTAATGTATCTATATCAAAAATCCATTTCATTTCATTTCTATTGAGGAGGCGTTCTTTATCACCTCCTCTCCAGTGTATTCTAATCTGCTCTATTCCAAAAAATTCTAGACCTTTTGGATCTGCATTATGGTAATCTAGAAAATGTTTTGATACACTGTGGTTTTCATATCTTCGATTGATGTTATACATATGTTCTCTAATCCTAATTTTTAAGCACTGTGAAGTTCTCCCTATATATTGTAAACCACAGGGACAGATAAGCATATATATAACATCTTTTTTATTACAGGAGATAAAGGACCTAATATTATATTCCTTTTTTGTGGTATTTGAAGTAAACTTAAAAATCTTTTTATGTTAGCCCTTCCTCAATTTACACCCCCTACACACTCCACAATAAAAAAAAAAGCCATTAGGTTGTTTTAAAAAATTGGTATTTTTCTCAACATCTAAAAAACTTTTTCTTAAAATTTGTTTTAAATTCTTAGCACCTCTAAAAATAATTTTTGTTTTTTCGTCAACAAGATTTGATATTTTAGCATCAGTTTTTAAGATGTGCCAATTCCTATTTATTATTTTCTTTAAATCTAGATTATTTGTGCAATAATTAAAAATCAATGGAACTTTATCTTCCTCTACTTGTAAAGCACTCTTATCTTTATATTTCAAAAGTTGTTTCCTATCAATTTGCTCAACCTCTGTAGAAACTTGTTTTAAAAAATCTTCTTTATATCCTTTTTCTTGAAATTGCTTTTGTAAGTACGCTACTTGTTGTTCGTATTCTTTCTTTTCTGTGCAGTTACGTTTTAATCTCAACATTTGTCCTTTTGGAATATTTTCAAGCCATGGTTTAAAATGGCAACTTGTGCAATCTATAAAACTATTTACATCTACTGTTTTAAAATATGTGTTACTTTTTATTTGTTGATTCTCTATATAGATTCATAAATCGAAAAAAATAACCTTAAAACAGCTAAATTCATATGTAAGGGAAATATTCCATTCGTTGAAATTTTTAAAATCTAAAAAAGTTTTTAGGGATTCTTCATCTCCATTCCATATTATAAAAATGTCATCAATGTAACGTTTATAGAGGACCAGATTTGCCCCAAATTTCTCACTGGAATCAATAAATACTTCCTCCCAATAAGACATAAATAAATTGGCATAACTTGGGGCAAACCTTGTCCCCATAGCCGTACCAAAAAAAATTATTTCTTAAAATAAAGTTAATCCCTTCTATAATAAAATCAATCTGTGACTCTGGTAAATCTCCAATTTTTTTTTTTTTTTAAATATGTAGCAGCCTCACACCCCTTCTCGTGTTGAATATTCGTGTAGAGGCTGCTTACATCACAGGTCGCCATTATAAAACCATCTTTCCATTTAAAATCTTCTAAAATATTTAAAAGACTCATCGTGTCTTTAAGATATGCTCTGCATTTTTTTACCGGTCCCTGCAAGAAATGATCTATATACTGTGATAGAGGAGATAGAAGTAACCCTATCGCTGAAACAATGGGTCTCCCTGGCGGATTATTCTCATCTTTATGAATCTTAGGGAGAATATATAAAACAGGAATTTTTGGAAAACTTACATTTAAAAAATCAAATTCTTTTTTATTTAAAATCCCTTCCTCTATACCTTTATTTAAGAAATTTTTGTAAAGTAACAAAATATCTGCCATTGGGTTTTTAGAGAGGGTCATATATGTAGTTCGGTCGTGAGTGCAGCCATTCTACCTGACTATATATACATATATATATGTAATTTTATTCTAACTGTATTTTGATTATATATATATATATATATATATATATATAAAGATGGGGTACATTGATGTTGTGGCAGGCTTATGCAATGTATGATCATTTAATGTAACTAAACACCCCCTAGATTAGGTGCTTTTAAAAAAACAAAAAAAAATCTGTCAAAATTGAAGTTGCTGTTTAGTGTTTAGGTGAGTGAGCTGGATCTTGTGTATTGTATAAATTGGCCCCCAGCAGCACCCCATTTATGCATGTTCAGGTGAGTGCAGCCCCCTGGTTTCACATGTACATGTATTTGGGAGTCTAGCCAACTCCTTGGTTTTGCACCCCTCCCTATCACAATTTATATCCCATCCAATCAACTTAAGGCCAAGGCCAAAATACCAATGACAATCTTAAACCATTATTTAT